TCTCCCACCGTACCGGCAGGCAGCCTCAATACCAGACCCATTCACTGGCCCCAAAGGCAGACTGTCTTCACCAAGGGACACCTTAAGATCGGAGCAGAGGGGCCTGTAGTAGAACTCTGTCCTCTAAGCACAGCATCCATTGTTGTCTTCACCAGGGAAGCTGAGACTATTTGAATGTCACCCTTAAGATCAGGCCTGCTGAGGTTAGAAGGAGAGATGCGGGGGGGGGGGGGGGGGGGGGGGGGGGGTGTCACCCTCACCTTAGAGCTAGCAGTGCCCCTGCACCTCTGCCCCAGCTGTAGGCAATTCTTCCCTAAGGGCCTGTGGCCTTGTGGGAGGCTAACTGGGGAGGGGCTGCAGCTGTGCTGCTGGGGAAACGTCACCATCCATGACTTTCTGGTGGCGTGGCCACTTTGGGGTGACCTGAACTCATCTAAGCACCCCTCGCCCCTGCCCTGTCAGTAAGCATCACAAACTCTTTAGTTTCCCCCATGTCGGGAATTGGTAGAATTGCACTTCCGTCTATCCCTGACTCTCCATCTGGGCAGCAGGGGGATGGAGTTGGGGGCTGTTTACACCTGCCCATGAAAAGGCTCATGGAATAGTCCAGGCACCAGGAAGCAGATATCCAGTTTGGCCAGGGCTGGGAAAAATACCCACATGCCACCAATCCAGTCATTTGTTGGGGACAGTTCTATGGACTGTTTCTCAACAGACTGTCATTGCCCATGTATTTCCTAACTTTTATCTGTCACCTGAATAGCTTTACCTCCATCTGTGCTGTGCCCTAAAACCAGGTCTGCCTTCAATGTCACCTACATTTTCCCCACAGGACCCTGGAATTCTTCCAGCACACATTAAAACCCTAAGATTTTGTCTCCTCCTGAGACTAGGGACCACACACCCTTCTTTGCACCCCTGCACCCCTCAGTACCTATCACAATGCTAGTGGGTGATAAGCACCCAGTAAGTGGCTGAAGGGTGGACCACACACGCTGACCAGCATGAGCTGAGCTGACAGGAAACCCTAAGGTCACCCTGAGTGCCAGGGACAACAGTGGAGAACGCTCAGGCTCCAGTCCCTTTCTCTGAAGACCTGACCTCTCCATCTACAGCACAGGTATGACACTCTGTGTTCTGCACAGATGTCTTTAGGAGAACCAGACAAAGCCAGTACGCCTTGTTCACGGGAGATTTGTAAACTCGTGATTGTCTACACACTGAGGGTACAGCTCCCGCCGTCTCCCTGGAGACGCGGCAGTGAAGGAATGGAGAAACGGAGAGCTGAGGGCTGGACTGGCCATGGAACGCGCCAGGAGTCTGAGAAGTGTGATTAGACATAAAATGGCCTGTCAGCATCGGGGGCCAGAGAAAAAGGGACATAGACTTGGGAAGGAATCTTCCAGAAAGGCTCTCTGGCTGATTGCTACTGTCACCTGACAATTGCGAACGTGGCTGTGGGAATTCTTAAGGCGCAGTGATCTTTAGAGCAGTCCCTTCCCCGAGGCAACACCAGATCAGCAGACAGGAGTCAGCTCGGGGGCAGGACCCACTTCAGATGTGCTGAGGCCACATTTGTGAGAGGCTGACATCTCAGTCCCCTTCCCTCTCCTCCCACCAGTTCTGTCATCCCTGGAAACTTACTGAGCAGGCTTCTCCTTGGCTCCCAGACTCAAAGGCTGATTTCGAACTAACAGCTAGTCAGCTTCAAAAGCTGCTGTCCACACTCTGTGCCCCGCCCACACTCTGTGCCCCGCCCACACCCTGTGCCCCGCCCACACCCTGTGCCCAGCTCAGGAAATCAATGTGTGTGACAGCCCCAGCCCCCAAGAACAAAAGGAGCCAGAACTGAGCTTTCCTTCTGCCTGCTGGAAGTTTTCCTGGCCTCGGGGAAGGCTTATAGCAACTGATACGTTAAATGATAGACCCAGATGTCTTTATCGTGCCCTTGAATGGAGGAAACCCATGAGGATACTAAAGAATTCACAACTCTTAAACCCTGGCTGTCCATCCAGCAGGAGCGTAGCTGGAGGGGACCAGCGTTTGGGTGACACAGGTGCTAGACACAGGACCTGCCTGATGAATCCACAGGGAGGAAGTGGATTTCTGACCTTGAAGCCTAGTATATGGCACCACTGCTGCTGGTGAAGACTACCCATTGGGCTTCCCAGCCCCACTGCAGATCACAGCTAACATAGGAGCACCACTAATGGTTGATATTGCCAAAAAGCCCTTCCTCTGGGCTATTTAAAATTCTGTAACCGTGGAAAGGCAATTACTTCAATGAGAAGGAGCCCATTCCCATGAATAAGAGGGGGAAAACTTAAATTCAAATTGCATATACTACCATCTTCTGAGGACCAGCATGCCAGAGGGTGTAGGGGAAGTAGTCATTTCCAGTGCTGGTGGGCATGTAATTAGAACAGTCACTCAAGAGCAATTTGGCATTGTCTAGCAAAACTAAAACTCTCACACCCAGCAATTCCTGGTCCAGACTGCTTAGTGCCCAAGAAGACCTGTGTAAGGATGCTTACTCAGGCAGTAATGGTAAAGCTAAAAGTCTGGAAGGTCTCACAGTCAAGGGGACCAGCTTAGTATGTATCCAGAGGAATATGATAGAACCATCCAAAAATGATCCGAAAACAACATAGATCCAGCTTATCTGGAGATATTAAGACAAACTGAAACAACATGTCAATTATTCACACACACACACACACACACACACACACACACACACACACACACACACACAACTGTCCCCAACTTCCAAGAATTCATTTCACACACTCCCTAGCCCAAGAAGCATCTCTGGCCATGACAGCCCATTCTGGACTCCTGGGGACACTTACCCTAAATACTCAGCCTGTCACACCTCTCTGCACTGTTAATGAGCAGTGTGTGCAAACATGGCTGCCTTCTTGTGCTACCTGAGTCTGTGGGCGGTGACCACACCTCCCTCTTTCTCTGTAGGGAGCACACAAAAGCTGGGACACAGCCCGTACTTGTTGCCTGGTTCAGTGGGATAACACTCCAAGTGCCACGGGAAAGACCAGCCACCAAGAAACACAGCTGCAGGTGGCCTCCCTCTCTCCAAAACCAGAAACAAAGGCAATCATTGACCAAGGCATTGCCATGGAGGCCTCCTGGTCCCACCGCTCACACAGCTGCTCATAGGGAGACCCAGAGAGAAAATCTCCAGCTACAGCTCATGGCCAGCAGGTCATTGATGGCCCTCTCTGATCTGCATGTGTCCCCCTCCTCCACATCCGAGGAACCTAGTCTGTAGGCTGCAAGGCTGAGCACCACAAATAACTCCCAACATAAATATGGCCTAAAAATAGCCATAAATCATTCTCATTCCATCCGGTGACAATTCTAATTTATAACAAGAGGGAAGAAAATGAACACAGTGGCTTTTTTTTTCCCTGGGCTTCCAAGCTACTGCTGAGGACGAATTCCACCCCGCTGTTACTTACAACCAGGAGTTCCTGATTTACGTATTACTAAAGATGAAATATACCATGGGCCTCCAGGCACGGGGGCTGCTTGCTGAGGTTTAGTGTGAATTCCTGCAGGCTCTCTATGTCCTGCATAAGCAGCTTCCTTTCTCTTGGTCCCCACCCAAGCTTTCTCTCGTCTTTCTCTCACTACCTATTCTTCCATTGTGGGGTGATAAGAGCCCTCCCCCCACCCCAGAGGGCAAGCCCCAACTCTCTGGGCTCCCTGCAAGAAGGGCTAATGTCTATGTATTAGCAGGACCTGGTCACAATGCTGGAGATGGTTCTTTCCAGTGGCACGTTCGGGTAATCTGCACATTAATGTTCCATGCAGTCAATTAAACTGCACACGAGGCAGAGGAGAGGGAACTGGAATTTCTCATACCGCGGCTTTTCTTATTCATCACCATAAAACAATTCTTATTGGTATATTAAAAAAAAAAGCACATACACATAAAACGAAAGTTATCTCTCTCCATGGGGTAATATAATAAAAGCCATTTGATGCTATTTTTGGCAGCCATAAAAGCACATAATTAATACAGGGAAAAAAATCATCGTGACAAAGTGTGTCACAAAACCCGTCAGTGCCCAAGGGCAATCCTCAGAACTCAAGTGTGCTCACAGTCCCCACTGCCCACTGAGACGTGCCAGACACTCAACATGACAGTAGCTAGGACGCTAGCCTTTCCCTCTCTGAAATGCCAGCCGAATCATGGGAGGCTTCCGAGATCTCGCCCATGGTATTCCTGGCCACATCCCTTTGAGGGTGGCAGGTAAGACCCTTGGTGGGACTGGTAAGGGATGTGAAAGAGCTGGTACTGGCTAATCAGCAGGTCCTGCGGGACACCTGGTCGGGACCCTCTGAAGGGAAGGGACTTCTCTCAGGTTGCCCCTGGCTCAGAGCCAGAATAGCAAGGTTGCATCCAGGAAACCCAAAGTTGAGTTTGGTCCAGATCCTGAGCCATCCCTACAGATCCCCCTCCACTCCAGCACTGCAGGAACCTTGCTCACCCGAGAACCCACCTCATTATCTTTAACTTCTGTTGAAGTTAAAACACCCGCAGGGAGATGAAATATTAGTCAGCATGGGGAGAGTTGCCCAGCCCTGAAGGGCATTACCAGTTGGCCAAAGCACCTTGAGAGGGCACTTCCTCATGATGACACCCGTCTTCACCAGACCTGCACCCCAGCACAACCCCAAAGCACCCAGAAACACATATGATAAACATAGTAGAGGAACCCACAGGCACCTCGCCAGTCCCCATCCGTACACCAGCGACCCCCTAGGTAGAGCACTTTGGCCATGGTCAACTCCAAAGAAACAGAAGAGAAACTCTCAGGTGAGAAGGCCAATGCCAATGGCAGGAACTTGACAAGACAAACAAGAATTCCCTTGACAGTGGTGACTGGCCTCGGATCACTTGCAAGCAATTCCAAATTCTCTGTGGCGGCCCAGAAATGACATTTGGGGACAGGAGAGCCTTTCCCGCCCTTTACCTCCACTCCCTGGACTTTGAGCTTCATGTGGTCCTCTCTGGTTGTTTTCCCATCTTTCCTCTTCTTCCAACAGTACCCGTCCTTCCTGTACTTCACTTTCTTCCTGTTGTAGAGTATCATGGAGCCATTCTGCGGTCTGCAAGCGACAAATGGTTAAGTTACCGAGAGAGCTAAGCAGAAGGGAAATTTATGAAGAAAGATACCGCAGACCAGTAAAAGTCTCTACAGAAAAGCAACGTTCCACATTTGCCGGGACATAATTTTCACCTTTTATTGCAGCTCCCTGGATTAACCGTGTTTTACGGCCAGCCAAAATTTGCTTGTGGATTTGGTACCTAATGAATTAAATGTGTCAATGATAGGCTTAAAAAACAACCCCTTAGTAATTTCCACAAACTAATCAGGATATATGAGGCGGGGGGCCCCGAGCCCAGTAGCAAAAAAGTAGGCAAAAGAGAGAGAGAGAGGAAAAAAAAAGTGAAAAGAGCCAGGGGTGTTTGGCAGCCTGTAATATCTTATCTCTTATAGAAGGATTTTCTACACATCTTTTAATCCATCAGCCAGCATTAGGGAATAAATAAGTTTAACGCAGACGCTAGATGACTATGTTCAAAGCAGACCAATAGAAACCCTGGGTGCTGAGGCCAACACTCTTGATTCATTGCTCGCATTTAGATTACTGCTGGATACAGACCGAGCATCATGGGCCTTCTTCTCTGGCAAGCAAAGTACCTGATTCCTCCCCATTTGGGCTTCAGCTGTCAGATGTCTTAGATGCACTAGGACCCCTCATCTGTTCTGTCCGTGGCTACAGCAGCTTAGGGAAATGGCAACCCATTTTGTTTAACAGGAACAAGCATGGCTGAGGATGTGGCTCAATGAAGTGTCTGCCCTTCAAACGTGAGGACCTGTGTTTGGATCCTGGCACCCATGCAATAAACTGGGCATTGCATTGTATGCCTCTATCCCAGCACTTAGAGTCAGGAAGATCAGATGTTCCAGGTCATTCTTGGCTACATATTGTGTTCAGTGCCCACCCGGGATACACAAGACCTGTGTCAGAAAACAAAACAAAACAGGCCATCAAAAGTGTCAAACAAACAGAACATTGTGTTTTCCAAAGAAGCAGCATACTTCAGTCACAGAGAGCAGAGCAGTGGCATGTGTGTGTGTGTGTGTGTGTGTGTGTGTGTGTGTCTGTGTCTGTGTCTGTGTCTGTGTGTCTGTGTATGAAGGTGCTGTGGTCACATATTTTGGGTAGGAATTTACAAAGAGAGAAAGAATTAAGGCCCTCCCCTAGCTGCCAGCAGGTGCTATAGTAAGTCATTCCCAGAATAAAGTTGCAGCAGGTGCAGATGTGGGCAGATCCAGCCCTGAAGCTAGCGCACTCACCCCAGGGCTGGCTATGTGCTGCCTGCACCTGTCCACTAGGCACAGAAAGGCTTGCCTGTGGCTTTGTGTGTACACGTGTCAGAGCCAGATGAGGGAGCGCTGCACAGTCGTGGGGCTGTTAGAGCTGCTTTGGACGCACCTTGGCTTATCGCTTCTCCACTACAGTAGAGGTGGGGAGAAGAAACATGCCCATCCATCCTCCTGCTGCTTGGGGAGAGCCTCCCGCCCCCAACTTCACTTTCTCTGTTGAACAATGGGCTGTTTCACCATCCAGGACTGAACACTGGCTATTGATGGCTTAATCTTCCATTGTCTAGAGAGTAAGAAGAAAACCCAACCCTCTCGGGTGGCTGCAGCTAATTGTGGTTCCCACCCAGCCTGACTGTGTCATCCGGCAGCCACAGGAAGACTAAAGAGCAATTCCATGGGAAATTATAGACTTTCGGTGGTGCCTCCCTACACTACATTGTTCCCTGATCAGGGTGCAATTGGTTTGTCACTGTTGGTTTCCTCCCTCAGCCTGCACCAACTAAAACAATCCCAGGAAACAGCTTCACACACTATTCACACACTATCACCTGACCGTATCTATGGTGCCTGCAGGTCTGCACTGGAAGCCCCCACAGTTGGTCTCCATCTCTTCATGGGAAGGTGACTTGTGGAGGGGGGGGTTGTCACTGGCCTCCTTCAGCCCCAGCAGCTCTGGCCACTTGCACTGTAACCTCAGACCACTGTGAACCCTCCCAGTTCCTCAAACACCCAGCAAAAGGTCCCCAAACCTGAGCTCCCATCGCTAAGGCCACTGCCTGGGGGCGGGGGTGCAAAGGATTATGTTGGGGCAAGCAAATGGACTCTGTGTCCCTGTCCTCTCATGGAGGGGGTGGGGTGGGTGAAGACACACATGGAAACACAGCCAGGATACCCCTGGTCAAAAAAAAAAAAAAAAGGTTACCTTCTGAAGAAGACCTCAGGAAAAACCACCCAGCCTCCAGAGACCAAGAAATGACCTGCGACTTGTTCCATCCCTGCCATAGTTAAGGATACTTAGCACCTGTACCTATATGGTAAATGGTCCCCCTCAAATGCTGTCATATGCAGTTCTTATAACTCATCTTCTGTTGACCTCACCTTAAAATTCTGAGAGTGGCCCCATCATTTGTCACCGTAACAGGACACCATCTAGGGAGCTTCAGTGTTCAACTCAAAGGACCTCAATGAATGGAATTGTCAGCTCATTTCACAGTAATGAGAGCCAAGCAGTGTGCAACCCTCTAGTCTGATTCTGTTTGAGTTTGCTCTGCTCAGTGTGATGTGGAGGCCCCACCGCATTCCCAGGCCCTAACAGCAATAAAGGGGAAAATGGCCCTACTACAGACGGAGTCTCACAGGCTGTGCCGCCATCCCTGATGTAAACACAGCAAGTCTGAACCTGTGGGAAGGGGTCCCAAGAAGGAGAGAGGGTCCAGGAGGTGGGCTTTAGGATGGAGGAGAAGGGCTAGGCCACAGGGGCTGACATGGAAGGGCCTCCATTTACTAACTGACCACTTAAGGCTGAGCAGGCCTGAGCAGAGCAGGGAGGCAGGAATGGAAATGCAGATGGAGGACATGGACTGTGTGGACAGAGCCAGCAACCTAACAATCCCAGCCTTCTCTGTCCTGGTCATTCACATGTACCTGCTGCTGGCAGAGAATGTCACATCTACACCCATCTATCATCTGTACACGTTCTCACCTGCACACCAACTCTGTGAGGGAGGCATTGCCAACATCCCCAGATAACCAGCCTTTTGTGCTACAGTGTCTGGCAAATCTGTGGATGCCAGAGAAGCTGAGGCTGCAAGATACGCAGAGACTGAATCCTGATCTGCTCTCCTGGCTGGGACTGGTAGAGTCCTGAAGCACCCTGAGCACTGGACCAGGGGTCAGGAGTGTGGAGGCCAGGCTTCCTCTCTTGTAGTTGGGCAAATCCCAAGCTGCCCATGTTTCCTCTGTGGAATCTGGCGGTAACTCTAGAGCTATTCCAGTATTCCCTTCCTAGGACTGGGGTAGCCCAGACTTGCCCTCCCCCAGCTAAGGTAAGTAGGGGTGTTCAAGGTTTCTCCTCCTGTTACTAGGGTTACTCTGGGTTTGCCCCGGGTCCCACCCCTAGCTAAGGTAACTCTGGCTCCTCATTCTCCCCTCTGGAGTTGGCACAATGGAAACCTGCTGAGGAACAAGTCCTTTCCATTCATCCTTTGCCTCCTTCACCTCCACTCTCCCCTACTGCTGCTTCCTGGGGTTGGCTGTGACATAATCTTGGGCTAGACTCTAATCTTCCTCCCAGGATCTCCTCTGGGACAACTAAGCCAAGACAGGCTGGCTAAGAGCCCCCGGGACGCTCCCGAAGTCCCTGCTGCACTTCACTGGTGCAGAAGAGCTACAGCAGAGAGTGTGGCCATGGGGAGCTTTGTTCTAGGCAGGAGGCCGCTGCCCAAGGAACCCTTTCATCTAAGAAACTAACAGTTATGAACATCAGTTACACTCCACACAGTGGCGAAAAAAGTCCTTGGAGTAGAGGAAAGCGTCACAAATGATAAGATCTACATATATGTGGTGTAGGTGGCTGAGTGGGTGTGCCAGTGGGCAGATAATAGGAAGAAGCTAGAGATTACACAGTGTGATGGTGTGAAGAGAACATCCCCAGTAGGCTCAGATGTTTGAACACTAGGCTGCCCATTGGTGCCACTGTTGGTGTTGGCTTAGGAGGTGCAGTCACACTTTGAAAAGCTGCAAGTGAGCTTCAAGGCGGCAAAGCCACACCACATTCCCGGTCCGACCTCTCTGTTTCTTGCTTGTGGTTCAAGATGTGAGCCCTCAGCTTCTTTCTGCTCTGGCTGCCATGCTGCTGCCTGCTGCAATGCTGCTGCCTGCTACTGCAATGCTGCTGCCTGCTGCTGCCTGCTGCAATGCTGCTGCCTGCTGCCTGCTATAATGTTGCAATGTTGCCGCCTGATGTAATGCTGCAATGCTGCTGCCTGCTGCCTGATGTAATGCTGCAATGCTGCTGCCTGCTGCCTGCTGCTGCCTGCTGCCTGCTGCAATGCTACTGCCTGCTGTCTGCTGTAATGCTGCAATGCAGCAGTGGTGCAATGCTGCAATGCTGCAATGCTGCAATGCTGCTGCCTGCTGCCTGCTGCCCTTCACAATGGACTCTAATCCTCTGGAACTGTGAGCCAAATAAACCCTTCCTTCTACAAGTTGCTTTGGTCATGGTGTTTTCTCACAACAGAAAACTAACTAATACAGACACATGTTTAAGGTAAATAGATGATAGATGACAGATGATAGCTGAAGATAGATGGATGATAGATTGACAGGTCGATAGATAGATGATAAATAGATCAATAGGTAGATAGACAGATGATAGCTAAAGATAGATGATAGATAGACAGATAGGTAGATGATAGATTGATAGATGATAGATGGATAAATGGATAGAGAGAGGATAGCTGACCACAGATGATAGATTATTGATAGACAGACACATACACATGAAAGATAGATAACTGAAAACAAATGATATAATGATAAAAGAACTTCCATCTACGATAAAGAAGGAAAATTTAAAGAAAATTTAAATACAGGAAAGAATTTAATTAGAAAGTACTCCAATCTAAAGAGAACTGCAAAGTCTTCTAAAAGGCATCAAAGCAGGTTTTGATACATACAAAAATGTGGCATGCCTCCGCTAGGGTGAAATAAGAT